ATATATATATATATCATTATATAATACTATCAAAGTTTTAAATAATCTAATGAAATAGCTTCAAAAACAATCTCCAATCATTATTTTTGCAAAAGGTTGATTTTTGCGATCGATACGTATGCCTAAAAAATAGAAATATCGGATCCATATTAATATGTGCAATATCATAAATTATCCAACCGATATTTTGGTGTATCGATATTTCCGCTTATGATACGTTGCAATACGAAATGTCAAGATTTATTCTGCATCGCTCATCCCTAACACTGATTGTAAAAGCCATGTTCCTCAAATGGGGAATACATAGCAAATTTGTTAGAAAATAGCAAATTTATTAGAAATTATTTTAATTATAATGTTGTAGAAGCTTAGCTGATATTTATGAACGCTTTAATTCGGTTATTATTATCGTGATTATTCTGGATACATTCAATTGCTTACTTTTTTACGTAGAATAAAAAAAGAGGTTCATGTAAAATAAGAGTTTCTTTTTTTTTTTTTTTTGAATAATTGTAAAATTTAATTGAAAACAAAAATTCTAATCACACAAGTATTTCATTACATTTGAATTGTACGAATTAATATTTTTACTTCGTATTTGGTATTACACATATATATGATATTATTTATCTCATATTTTTATAACATTGAAAAGCATTAAACACACATTATTGAATTCATTTCAGATTACATGAACGTCGTATATTTAAAGTATATAAACGTTCTTTTGTATCAGCTAGCAGTATTTTTATTAGTATTATTTACAAAACCAAGGTTGTAGGTATTTTAATACTCTTATATCGAAATTTAGGATTTAGTAACGTATAATAATTAATAGATTGGTGATTGTCTTTATTGTAAATTAGTTAGAAATTTCGATACGAGCGCGCGCGAGGAATTATTATTAAATAAGACCATGTCAAACGAAAAGTGTAAAAACAAGACTGAGACACTACCATGTCTCTTGATGCTTACATAAGGCTGCATATATAATCTGAAATAATTAATATATCATAATTTGATTTTAAGAAGGATTCATTAGTATAGAACTCAACACAATATTCGTTCCATGCGAGAGTTCCTACCTAGCTAAACTTACATATTATGATGCGTTTATATAATTATTGTGTATGTAGCCAATTATCTTTTCCAACTGTTTTATAAAATATAGCATATGTAGATAAATCCGCACCATAAAATAATCAAGAATTGTATGCGTATCGATCCTTTTGTATACTTTTTTATTACAACTTGCTGAAGAGATTATATTGTGGAGTAATTTAATACTACTGATTTAGAAAAAATATACTAAATCACATATAAAATTTCCATAACGTGATATATTATTGAATTGTATCGATCATGAATGCAAGAGGACTTTATGAAAACGTGTGTGTGTGTGTGTGTGTGTATTGTATTATAAGAAAAATTAAAACGCTGAAAGAATAGGCGGATAATGAATTACTTGTAAACTATGCATGGTTTCAAAACGCGTATCATAATCGGATAGCAATAACAATGAAGTACACAGATGATGATTTTTATGGAAAAATATCAACGATTTATTAATAAAATAACGATTTAAAGCAAATATATGGGTCGCGTAGTACAAATGAATATCAGGCTGAGGCCAGCTCCTGGATCACAGATCGTGTTAAAGTTTTATGTATATATGTATGTACGTATGATATATATGTATATATGATATATATACGTATATGATATATATATATATACATATATGATATATCATATATCATACGTATGATATATATATGTATACATACATATGTAACATACCACAAAAGCTATGTTTAATATAATAACGATCATCATTATTCAAAATTATCACTATTATGCCATTTTTAAGCTACATTTAAAATAATTATGATTATCACGCCATGTCCAAAATAATTATACGGCAATCACTTGGTTCAGAGCACTTTATCACGAAAAATCACTCGGGATCAGGATAGAAATCATCACTTGCGTTCATCACGAAAGTCACTCGAGACCGCGCAAATTAATGGCACTCTCGAGCGGACTTGAATCTAATAACAGCACCTGATATTCCGTACCTGCCACATCGTCTTGATAGTACATCGACGGTAGCTCTTCTGTGAGCAATAGACCTTCGCTCAAATCGTCACTTGTATTCAATAGAACGTCCGACGTTTCTGTTACTACTGAATTCATCAATGTACTGTCTTTCTTCAATTTAGACCAATCGGAATATGTTAGATCTGTCCTCGCCGAACCCTGTTCCTTCATTGATACAGTTTCTTTGTCGATCCGCTCATTTTGTGTATCATTTCGGAACCGTTCCGAGCTCTTCAGTAACGTGTTAAAAGGTGGCGGTTCCGGTTCTGGTAAACAATGATCTATTTTTGATGAGGAAGTATCAAGAATAACAGCATCGCATGGAGTCAACATGACCATCTGTTCTTCTTCGATGACAGTGGATGAACTTGGCGAATTGTGTACGGTATATAAAACATAATCTATGTCGACATCGTCCAAAGATTGTTTAGTCAACAAATCGTCACATTGTATGCCGTGTACTTTTAACATGTGTTCACGAAGACTCATTTCGCTGCTGATTAAATGTCCGCATACCTCTATCGGACAACGATACAGCAACTCCATTTGATTCTCATCCTGGGAACATGCACTAGTACTCTGCTTCTCAACATCGTTCTCCTTCGCGATAGTCTCCGCGGCATTTATCAGTTCTGTGTTCAATCGCTTCGACTTGATCGACTTTACTCGCGGATAATGAGATTCTTTTGTTCTTGTACGTTTTTGATTAGTGGAAGTGCTCTCGGACATATCATTGGTTACGTTCAAATCTGGCTTAGTCTGCTGATGCTTCTTAATGTGTACGTATAAACTACTTTTGGCGGAGAATCGGGCATCACACACGAAGCATTGAAACAAGCGGCCTTCCGTGTGCGTTAGTCGGTGTTCCTTTAGATGTTCCGAGCGCATAAATGCCTTGCCACAATCCGGCACGTCGCATACAAATTTACGCTCGTTCGTGTGCTTTTTTTGGTGGCGCTTAAGCTTACTGGATGATGAGAAAGCCCACTTACAGTCTTGAAAAGTACAGGGATAGGGTTTATAACCGGTATGAGAACGCATGTGCGCTTTAAGTCGACAAGGCTTGTCGAAAATCTTGCCACAACCCGGCCATGAACACTTGATGTCCACTTCCTTGTAGCTATGTGATCGTTGATGTGACGTCAATGCGTTGCTACTATAGTAACGTTTGCCACAACCCTCATGCTGACATACATAAGGTGCATGGCGTTGGTCATGCGACTTCATGTGTAGTTCCAATGATCGTTTCGTCTGAAACTTCTCGCCGCAGTCTGGCACCTGGCACACGATCCGGTTAGGACGATTGTGCAACTTCGCGTGACTCCATAGATTGTAAACGGTAGTGAAACGACGATTGCAGCCTTCCACTTCACACACGTAATCCTTGCGTTTCAGATGTGTCTCCTTGTGTCTCTTCAGCTTGAACTCAGAATAAAAGGCCCAAGTGCAGCCCTCAAAGTCGCACTGCAAAAATATAGCCAATTAAGATAATTATAAAAGAAAAAAAACACGATTGTATGCTGAATAATTTTAACAGTTAGTTAACAAAATTAACGATTTAAAAATGAAAATGAACGATTTAATTTGATTTGCTGCAAAATTATATCACTGCAATGAAAGATTAAAGGAAGAAGATAAATATTATATCTTTTTAATGTACCTTAAACGGTCTAACTCCATAATGAGCCAACAAATGACCCTTCAGAGTGTACAATCTACCAAATTGTCTGTTGCAGCCGTCTCGTGGACAGAGCCACACCTTGTCGTGTTCAGTGGCGCACAAAGGCTGCAGACTATCGTCGGTGATACCTAATTCCTCCAGTGCATTGGATATAACAATTTCATATTGATTACTTGGATTACTATCGGAACCGTACTCAACTGTGCCATTCCAAACTGCGGCCGAAGTATCTATCTTGGGTAATTTTGGAAAATTACCTGTTGCTTCAATCAATTCCGAAGTCTTGCCTTGATAGATCTGTTTCTCTGTACCAGTATTGATAACAATCTGTGTCATGTTGGAGATTTTGTCAGTAGATATAGCGACCACAGCCATCATGCCATCCTGTGAGTCTATGTCAACAGCTAAACTTTTACCATCGATATGTTTATCGAGTTTCTTCTCCAGGTGCTCTGTTATCATCTGTCGACGTTTCTTGATAATACGAGGTTCGAGTTTTGACTTCTTCAATTGTTTTACTACCATGTCATGTGTATTTATTTCCATGGAATTTGTCATGGTATCCAATGAGCTCTGTTCCATTGGTGGTAGAGTCCCAAGAAAGAGCTCTGAGGAACTTGCTGAAGATTGTACTACAGTTTCCTGTTCTGTCTTTGCATCTTCTATCTCGTTTACAGCTATATTCACTGGTAGCTGATTGAGAGTGACCTGTGTAGATTTTTCACAGGATGTCTCATTGTTCTGTACTGGAACTCCTTTTGGAGCATTTTGTTCGACATCTTGATTTTCTACGCTTATCATTGACTGGCTACTCGCAGACGGTAGAATCTCACCAGCTACTATCATGTCATCCGATGTAAGGGTCACTAGTGGATCCAAATGATCCAACTGAAACTCCGGTAACATAAACTCATCGACCTTCTCGCATGGTGGCTCCAACAATCGATTCTCACTGTGTGTCAGATCCTGTAGTATCGGATCATAGCTTGATGATAGATTAAGTTTCTTGGCGTCTGCCAAATCGATATCGATGGACAGACCATACGGATCTTTGCTCAGAAAGCAGCCATGTGATAGCACCTCCTCACCCAGATATCGGTCTACGCCCTCTACCATCTTGGTTGCGTCCAAGTCCATACTCGATGGCACCGGTGGTTCCGTGCTACCCATCTTAAGCCATTTCTCAAAGTCAGCTACTGTCTCGACAACGTCGACACCCTTTCCAGTCACCGTTTGTTGCCAATTCTCATTTCTTCTTGTTTTCTGATCCTTCTTACCGATCTCTTCCGTTCTCGACGAAGCAAAAAGGGCATCAACGGGCGCGCACTCCGTTCCTTCGCTCTCGGAGTTAATCCTCTCACAACTATGTCGTCTCGACGTACATGCGGTGATGGTAGCAGCTCCTTTACAAGACATTTGTGGTCTACTCCGTGGCCAACACTGCGGAGGAAGCCCACGTTGATGTGAAGCGACAACGACATTCGACAGAGCATTATATTTTGTTCATGATAAGAAGGGGCTCCGTTCCAGGAGCCCGATGCTACGACCCGTTGCGCGTGCAATTGTCATCGAGCGTCTTGAAGCGAGCACCATTTTTCTTACCGATTGTTTCTCTGCGGTAAAATGTAATATTAAGATGCAATCCGTACCTTACACTAGGCAATCGCAAATCGTCGAGGAACGTGTGGTGCGAATTTTCAAAGTCAACATAACCTCTTACCATGTACGCTGCTGCGAGTGCTGCGGTAGACGGGCAGACTAGGCAGCAGCAGGCAGTGGTGCGTCGGAATCGGATCGATACAGCGGTAGCGGTTATGTCCGATAGGAAGACTCGTCCGGTGATAACGACAGGGAGCGTGGTATTGTTTCTTTGATCGTTACGGCGTTTATCGAGTTTGCTCGTGACTACGAGGAATATATTCGTGCGCACTAGCTAATCTCCTAATCTCTTCTACGGATAACAATAAAGAGAAAAATGACAAAACAATCAACAACAATCAACGGACAAACCGACGCACACAGCTACAGTTAACTCGCGGCTGCAGCTGAGCCATCTAGCGGTACACACGGTCATCCCATGACGCATCAACGTCTCGGTCGATAACAAAGATCCGTTCTTTCAGATTTTCTCGTATTTTTAAAGAGCCTTTTATTTCAATAATCTCTTTAAAAAATGTTTTTTTTTTTCGATCTCTCTCTCTCTCTCTCTCTCTCTCTTTCTTGAATCTACAGAAAATTTGTAGTTTTCTTCGGATATATGAAGCAAAATTTCAGAGTGTATATATAATAACCATTTATTATTACACATTGCGTAACTATAAATTATATAGGTACACAACTCATCGGACTTATTAAACTGGAAAAAACTGAAAAAGGAACTATATATGAGGATCTCACGAAAACATTTATTATTTATCTAAATTGTAATTATTTATCGGAATTTGTACACTCTTTTGATCTATTTGTGATACATATTGGGACTTGCACATTTTCTCGTTCACTAAAATTTTTAATTGCTTGACTCTCGAATGGATTCGTGGCTCTTCCTGTGCCATCGCCTGGCGCAATATCTTCGCCGTAGTTTCGCGAGCTTCCGCCGAGTCTGTTATTGATATCGATATCTGAGATGTTGATTTCTCATAGATCGGAGGATTCGATTTAGAATTCTTTGATTTAATGTTGTTTTGATGCCGATCGATGATCCCCTTAGTATTTGAATTATTTGAAGCCGGCTTTATTTTTTCGTATGGCATTCTGGGCGTTGTAGGTGTAACCGTCTTACCTTTGCAAGTTCTATCGTCCTTTTAATTTAATCAATAAATGCATTTTTAATGATATGAAAACATACAACACATAACTGCAATTATGTCTATAAAAATAAATATAAGCTGTTAATGACTTTCAAATCTAGGAAAATAGCTTTAAAAAGTGTAATTAAATATTCTTTGCTACCTTAGAAAAACCTTCCACCACCGCTTTGCTCAGCAAAATAGCTTTGGGCAGTTTGTATGAGGGTGGTGGTTTAGGCTGCGGCAGGCTGCGGTTCTATAAATCTCATATTTTTCGATTTAATCAAATCGGTGTAGATCACATTTCTAGATATTATCTGATAACGCAAATTCTTGGAACGCATTTGTTCTTGATAATTGGTCAGCTGGCAAACACGAGGATTCTTCGAAGATTTCTTAAGACGACCAAACACATATTCCCAAAAGGACAATTTCTGTTCTGCAAGTTTCTGTGTCGATAATGCTCTTTGAATGCTTAAAAAATGTTTTTTTTTCCTTAATCCTGTTAAGATATATCGAAGTAATTATGTTAGACTTTTAATAATACTAAATTTAAAAAAAAAGAAAAATACTCTGTAAACACAGAATATTTCGCTCTTTTTAAATTTTATATAATAGTCCATAAATCTTTTTAATAAAAAATTTCACCATAATAATGCTCAGGTGTTTTTGATAGAGTTGATCTGTTATAACCTTCGATATTTTTTTTTGAACAGACAGATTGGCGTAATGCCACGGTCGCTGTTGCTACAAGAAAGGGTTATATTTATTCTTCTAAGAATAAATTAAGAATAGATTAATAACTATACTGTTTATATATATATAGCTTGATTAATCAAGATTAAGACTTACGTTTAATCAGAGTAAACTGAGAATTTGGAATCTGGACCGAAAATGTGCCATTGAGGATAAATGTAATGCTTTGTGTTCACAATCACATGTTTAAAAATAAAATATATATGTCATCCTGATACGAACTATTTATTTATATGTATATCCATCAATAAAACAAAAAAACGACGTAAACTTCGTAGTGCAAAATACTCACAATTTTTTTAAAGAGATTTCTTTTTAAAAAAGATACAAATATATACGTATTAACTAAAAAATAAAATTTACTCGCAAAAGTTTATAATTATTTACTTATAAATATTATATAGTTTTCAAAAATTATTTTAAAAGTCCAGTATATACGCTTCTTTGTAATTTGATTAAATCTGGATATATTTTCAAAATTAATATATAAATATATATACACACACACACGAATAAACAAGATTAAAATATCGAAAAAAAATTTGGCCCATGAGGGGATCGAACCCGCGACCTTCGCGTTATTAGCACGACGCTCTAACCAACTGAGCTAATGGGCCATTTCTGCAGTGTCTCTCTCATTTTGTTGTTATAGTTTTTTCTTATAAACAGAATATAATAAAAATTAATAAACAAATAAGAATCGTAAGTTAAATGTATTTAATATAGAAAATATTAAAATAAGTATGTAGATTTAAGAGATAAGTTTTGACATATTTTATTTATAATAGTTTAAAATAAATTTATAAATAATTACAAATAAAATATAGAATATATTTTTCGATATATATATATATAATTTTTTTTATATATATAAAATTTTATATATAATTTGATCGCCAACTATTTTTAAATTGTAACGTATTTATTTTAAAATCTGTCATATATAAATATATAATAGAATTTTTTCTTCAATCTATTTTGTACTTATATTAAACATACATTTGTACAATATCTTCATAAATTATTACATTAAGACGATATCACTGGAGATGAAATTCGATTTGAAAGCTTAATTTTTTTGAAAGTCGGGCCATAATCGTAATCTTCTTCTGATTCTGTCGAACTGATGTTGATAGCTTCACTATGTTTGTATTCGACAGGTAATTCTAATACTTCATCGTCTTCGCCAGAACATACATTTATATCTGATTCTATATCGCTCTTCTGAATCCTTGAACGAGCTATATCAACATTCAAATTATCATCAATATCGCTGCCATAATCGGAGACATTATCAACATAATGATGGAAATTTGATGGTGAATTGGTATAACATGAATCATTTGTAGTCTCCCTGCTCGATAGATTGCTACAGTTTGAGGAAACATTATTTTCATTGATATTCATTATCTCCTTGGGTATTTCTGATTCTAAAATTTTATAATATATATAAATATTTACAGCAATATATGCACATAATTGTCTTAATCACTTATTATAAACAAACCTGTATTAGTTATTTTAGAGAATAGAGAAGTATTTGTAATATCCACATTTTTTAAATCTGATGAATCAAGATCTGATATTTGGATATTGTTTAATCTTCCAAATGAAGCAACAAGTTGAGAACGGAATTTTATATATGATTCTACTTTATAAAAGCATATATCACACAAAATTGCATTATCTATCTCTGATATCTGTAAAAGAACAGTATGATATATTTAATTGTTGTATAAACATGTATATGTAACAAACTAATAACTATATATAAACTCGTATATATAAATTATATTATATTATATTCACTGTATAGCCAGTAATTAATTCAATAGCATCCTTAAGTGTCATATATCCACCAGGTTTCTCGTGCATGTCTTTTTCTAGTGATTTAAGTAACAATTTTTCATCAAATACATTTCTGTGATTATCATTAGACAACTGCTTACAGGAGATACAATAGATATCTGACTGTAACAAAAACCAAGTATTTAAATTTTCTAAATTTCATTAGAAGTTATATGTTTATTAAAAACGATTGTTATTTATTTCATGTCAATAATCTTCAACAGATTGAAATGAAAAATGTATATTCACCATCTTTTCAAAGACTATATATTGAATCAATGGACTAAGCAGATCCTCAAAGTTCCAATGTAAATATTGACAGGCTATCAATTAGGTATAAGAATATATATCAATAACTTCCTCTTGAAATGTCAATTTTAAATAAAACGTCAATCGTTCAAGAGAAAAAGAGAGAGATGCATCTCCATATACCGGCAGCTGAAAAAGAACCGTGTATATATAACTATACAATTACTGCGCAGATAAAAAGCACAGAGAAAAGAAACTTGTTCACACCACTCGTTCAATTACATTTTTCTACGTTTTGCATCTTTCCTTTTTTTTTTATTTTAGAAATTAGATATATCTCCATATCGTTTCAAACATAAAGCGTTTACGATACTTCTATTCGTCTACTCTATATTTGACCTAACCACGATCGAAGGTCGCGACGGTGTAAACAGTTTATTTTGTGTTTAGATCTTCAGGTTAAATATATAGGGTACAGATCGCTACTAAACGCACGGTGTAGTGCAGACAGGTTCGTGTGGAGATCCGCGTCGTGAGTGATTATAGTGAGCAATCGCGAGCAGAGTGTCAGAACGATGTGATGGATGTCAAAGAATTCGAAGATGGAGTGTTGCTGATTGAGCCAACCTAACCTGACGCGATCAGCAGGCAGACAGTGACAGACGTGAGTGAGTGCATAATTGCGTACTCTTCTCGGCGAACTTGAACGAAGTCGAACGTCGCAAATGACTCGATCGTAGCGTCGACGCGAATTATGGCGAATCGTAAGAGGATTGACGATTCGGATCGTCGCCATCGTCGGTCGTCGAGAAGCCGCACGTGGTCCTTGTCGCCCGACGAAGAGGAGGAGGAGAAGGAGACGACGACCTCCTGGAAGTCTTGCGTAGCGGCGTGTAAGAACCCTCCATCACCGTCGGGAAACGAGGTGGTTTTTGTACCGTTTTCGTCTGATGAGGAGAAAATGACCTCCGTTCATTACCCTTGGAATACCCAATCCATGAACAAGCCATCGCCGACGTTAGACCGTTTCAGTAGGAGTCACGTTGACTCTATTGAGCAATCAACAGGTTAGAATTGACTATCATTGTACTATTTGTTATATATCGCGTGGACGCTTTGACTGGAGATTGTTTTTTCTTTTTTTCATCTAACTATGGAAGCTGAAAACATTTTTTCGCAGGTCAAGACGCGCCATTGCGTCGCGATAACAACCCCTTTAGTTTTAAGGCTTTTTTGAAGAATGGCATGCAGCAAACCAACTATCACAATACTGGGGCAAGGCCAAAGGTTTACTCATCCTCCACACCTAGTTCTGGTAATATTGTGGACAAAGATAATGTCAGCAGTAGCGTTTATTCTGGGCGAAACCCAACGGAACTGCCAGACTTTGTACAGGATCACCTGGTCATTGAACAGTGTTACCTGAACCATGAGAATAGTCAACCAATACTATCTGAGGTAGATAATCTACCAGATTTTGCATTGAACAGTATGGAACAAAGGCAGTCTCGATTACGAAGCGAGACCAAAAAGAACGACTCTGACATCTTGTGCGATGATCTACGATCATTTGATCTCACTGATACGTTGAACAAGGGCTTACCACACAGAGATCATTCTGCATCAAATACAATGCATTCGAATCACTTGGACCTACCTATGTTTGAAGATAGACACAACGAAACTGCACCTGTCTTTCCTCGCCCTGAACATAGAGGTATCTTACTGGCATGTTACAAATTAGACAATTATGTTCTTCTTAAGTTTGTGAAGATAAGAGTTATTTTCTTTACAGAATTTCCACTCGATTTACCATTAATCTTTGCTGACTCGAATCCTAATATAAATACAACTACAAGAGGTGATCTTCCACCAGGAAGTGAAGCGAATGTTCACAAATCTCTACCAGACTTTTTAAGCGATGGTCCTATACATAATAGATCTTCAGATTCAGAACTTACAACGAGCATGGCAGAATCCACAGAAAGAAGGGTAATATCACTATATAATACAGAAACTTTACAAATAAAATGATGTACAGAAAGTAGAGAAATTTTGAGATTATATTACAGCTTTTGCTCGAGAACGAAAGATTACGTCAGCAATTAGAAGCATCTCGAAGGCAACTTAGTGAAAAAATGGAAAGGTAATTATATCTTGCTGGAATAAATTTCAGTTTATATCGATCCATTCATTGCAGAATTCGTTCACTGGAGGCAGAATTGTTATCTAAAAAGGAAGTCGAACACGAAGAAACGGTGCACTTGGAAAAAGCGATAGAGCAAGTCGAAGATAACTTAAAACGAAGTACAGTAAGTATAATACAAAGACAAAGAGTTGCAAATTAGAATTCTTAAAGTGGGTATCCAACTGGCGCAAAACATTTGTGAACGTTTGCAAGCATTTTCAAACTGAATAAATTCGACGAAGCTTTCAAACACATACAATTAAAAGAAAAAACACTAGAGAAAAAACAGAGAAAACACTACATATAAAATATTTACACATTCGCAAAGATTTGCAAATGTTTGTAAGAAAATGCTTGTTTGGTGGATACCCACCTTTACATATTAATTATGTTATTGACATTGAAAAACGATTACAACGTTCTATTTATATTTCGTAGAAGCGAGCAGTTAATGCTGAAAGTACTGTAACATCATTGAAAAAAGAGATTAAACTTTTAACGGTTAGTACTGTTTAACCGACTATAATGGAACAGAGTATATCACATTCTGATGTATCGATTTGCAAATTTGTTAATTTAGACAGAGATATCTCTACTACGACTAGAGAATGGTGATCTTCGAGCTGGTATTTTAGCTACTGGACAAAGTGAATCGAATGCTGGTGCTATTAACATGAATCGTACGATTAGAAGGCTTGCGCATGACTTATTCGCGGCTGCATCGTCGGCTGAAGTATCCCTCAGGTATTCTTAATTATTTGACTATTATCAATTATCAAATGTATTTAAAATATTTTATAATTAATTTAGAATGGAATACTATCTACTTTAATAGAGATGCATAGTTTCTTTCCAACTCTAAACAAGATTTCGTATATTCTTTTGCAGGCAATTAATGTCCGGTGTGGATAATCTGAGAGTACTCGCATCGACCCTCGAAAATGTGGACAGGATAGAAGATTGGACCAAAGACTTTTTACCTGATTCTGATGAAGATAATGCCGCTGGTCCCGCAGTATAATAGAATTTCGCTCTTTCTCTCTCTCTCTCTCTCTCTCTCTCTCTCTCTCTCTCTCGCTATACATATACATATATATACATTATATATATTCGTATTTTCACACCATTCTCCTTTTTATCATTTCACTATATATATCCCATCTATCCCCCTAATTTCACTGCACATCCATTGATGATAAATGATCCACTTTGATCGATTCAACACATTAATGCATTGCTATGCAATGTTTGATACTTTGAGCGCAATGAGAATTCATTATGCAATCATTTCTTGTTATCTACATTCGTTGCAGAATTTTTAATTTCTATCCCTCTTTCTGCCGCCCGGACTAATATCCTAATGCAAGATCGCTTCGATCTGAACGTATAAATATATATTATTATTTATAAAATATTCATTATATTTTTATATTTAACAATTTGTAAAATTTATTTAATCAAATCTATGACGATGCAAAGAAGCAGATATATTTCCGATGATATCATGACCTTTTGATTGAAGGATATTTTCTTAGTTATATATTGTATGTGTGAAAAAATGCAAATTTAAAAAATATTTGGAATCTCACGTGATAAAAAAAATTATCACAAAGCTGATAGACATTAAAAATTCGCCTGTTTTCATCATGCAGCATGACATATGATGTAAAGTTAGAATATATTTTTTATATATATAAGAGATATCTCGACTCTCTTTTACCGCGTATACGATATGTACACATGAGGCTTTAAATAGACATACAAAACAGATACACTTAGTCCGATTCCAGTCCATAAATTACTGATAAGTTCAGATCACAATACTTGTATATATTGTCGTATATATTTATTTTCGATCGTATGTAGATACATACATGCAAAGTACACACGATGTGTACGATACATGTGTAATACTGTGGTATTGAAAAAATCAGGTATATACATTTCTATATATATATATGTACATACATATGTAATCATACAAATATGAAACTATAAATGGATAACATTTTTGCTGTTCGATTTGTCAACTCTTTTTATTCAGCATATTTGGAATAAAATAAGTTTCAAATAAAAAAGTTGAAATGAAGTATAGAAGTTAGAAAATTTCAAAGATCTGATCTACTTAATCTTCGACAACAAATCGCGTTACGAATTTGACATTGTTATTTTTTAAACATATTTGTAGCACGAAATAGATAAAAAGATAAACACAAAAATGAACATTTCAAAAAATGCAATAAAAACATGGAGATCTAACTTATTGTGAAGTTGTAATGAAAAAGAACATATCTTATTCAAGTCCTTCGAAAATACTAAGTAAATCGGTCTGTGTTTCAGTGTGACTCGTTTGTATATTTAGCCAGGATCTACAGGTTCCAATGGGAATGTTGCAATCGGTTCCACAAATCAGGGACTTTGTTTGAGTCTCGGTAGAAACTGTAGTATCATCGTGCGACCAAGCAGTCTGAGTCTGTATATTAGATAATCCTAAGTCGGAAGACAGCATTTTATCGCATGTTTGAGTGTACGTGTTGCTGTATAGCAGTTGCTCCATATTGTCCAAATTATCTGTAGTTTGGGTTTCAATGTTTGAACTTAAAGCAAACGATCTCGACCCGAAAGATTCGGAATAAAAATAGGAAGGAGAAAAGGCTTGCTCGGTTTGCGTTTCTATACTGCTAAATCTGTCTTCGAATGTCTTAGTGTTTAGCATAAGATCTGACTGAGACATCCCATCGGTCGAAGCGAAAGAATATCCTTCAACTGCTGCTGTGTCCTCGATATAAGGCAAAGTCATTAAAGCGACTGTGCTCTTCGGTACACACTGTATTAAAGGATTATGACTGTGATTGTAGAATGTATCGAATTCCGTCTGAGTCACGCTATCATTAAATGCCTCGAATATATCTTTTTCTGGTATCGTTTGCGTGCCTGAAGTACTCTTCTCTTCCCAGAAATCCTGCAAGCCCACGTCGTGACGAAGCGGCAGTGGACTAGCTGGAAATAAATTAGTCGACGTGAAATTGTTGCCAAGATTAAGATCTTCTTTCAGCAACGTCTGTTCCGATTTTTTTGATAATACGCGACACTTTGCATCGCGTTTGTGCATCTTCGATTCTCTGTTTACTTGTGGTGTTTGTGTTTCTATCGATTTCCCGGAGGTTTTCTCCTTGGTAAAATTATTGGTTTGTGTTTGCTTAGATATTCGACGTTTCGTGATATGTAGATTGCTATTGTTGAATTTTGAAGGACTTGGTCTCTTGCTTCTTTTATAATCGTCTGTCTGTACTCCGACATCGGATGTACTTTTTATCGTATTAATATCTTCACTACTTTTTTCAGATTTATCTGGATTGGGCAGTATCGAGACAGGTTTGTTTGTAATTTTTCTTGGTAAGATAATTTGCATTGTCTTGGAGTTGATATGTCTGCAAAAACATAATAAATATGTCAACAAATTTTCTATTTCTCAGTTTCCATTATGATAATCATGTCATTACTAAAAATGTGTAATGATAAATCAACATATACCGTAAATTTTTATAATTTTCCGTTATAGTGTGCAGAGATCGCTTTGCGTGTGTAAGCAACGCTTCATATGTGATGTAAGTCTTTGAGCAGGAACATGTAAACTCTATACCACAGACTCTTGTATGCCCATTTTTAGCGGATTCAGTGGAAAAACTCTTACTGCAACGATCGCACGCATAATTTTTTTCTGCGTGTACCTTTAAATAATGCTGGAAGGATGTAGGATGGTAGCATAGCGTTATTAATATTCTTAAAATTAATCTCTCCAATTTTTTGTTACTATGCAAGCTCATTATCATACAAAATATCGAAATATACATACCTGCTTCAAGTATTTCATGGTATTAAAGTATCTCTGAGAATTAACAGTGTAGACGCACGACTGGACCGGGCAATGATAGCGTGCGTTTTCCTTTGTAATTTTATTCAATTTTTTGTGCTGGTGCACCTTGAGGTCATGCAGCCGATAGCGTGGCTCATTCTTGAAGACAAGCCCGCATTGCTCGCATTTAACATTGTTATTTATTATGCTCAGCTCTTCCGGTGATGGACAGATCATCTTCATGGACAGCGATGCGCTGTTTTCAGCCGGTCTATCAGGTCTCCTCGACATTGCAGGTTATCTTACGGCATGATTTCATACAAACTCTCACCGACATATTCATCAACATAACAATATATAAAAAATACTTGATTATATTATTTTTACTCTGTTTCTCTTATCTCATTTTGCATAGTCTCTTTGATTTATAGTATCTACAACATATAATTAAAGATATGTATAATGTATTAAAGATGTACTATGTTTTTTCTAAAATGCAACAAGTATACTCCAAAATATTTAATGTTTTATATATATATATATATATATATATATAATATAGTCTCACGCATATTTATTGTTTGGAAAGCTTTTTCTTGCTGTCATCAAATTGAAGACATAATATAATCCCAGATATGACATACACAGTTCTTCTTTCTCTATATAAATAATTGAAGCCATCGGAGCTTATCTCAGCTGTTCGAAACCATCTTGGAACCAATAAGAAATTCGGAATTAGAACAATATGATACGACTATTGCTTTTAACTTTCGAGCACCCGTACGCATCCCTCAGCCTGTCACTCCTCTCTTGTCAGCGCGGCGCTACTTGTCGCAATCTGGGAACGAATCATCCTTTGCGCCCGGCTCGGTATACTCGCTCATCGGGCCGGTTGGGTCGATCGACCTTCTGTCCGCGAACAGCGGCGGCAGTGGCAAGTGCTCGAGAGAGACGTGTGCGACGAAAGTGGACCGCGGCCGAATTCGCGAGCGCACACAACATACTGACTCAGTACGACTCAGTGCGTCCCGCCGCTCGTACGGAAGACGTGCGTGCGTAACATCGAATGAATGTTCAACAATTTTCTTTTTGAAGCTGTATAAGTAATAGATCTGTATCGCGGGACCGATTCCTTTAAAACTTTTGTCTGTCACTGAACACGAGAATTGGCAATCCACGAGCTGTCACACGGTAAAGTAAACGTCAACAGTACCGTTTCCGGTAATTTTAACAGATCACCATGTATACGTACGTGTACCACATACATTGCACGGTCGTATTATTGATTTTTACCTGAGGACAGAAGAGAAACGCGTAATCGCACTCGTACTTACATGTACATTGCAGCTCGATGCATGTAGCTGTCCAAGTTTTATAATTGACTTCCATCAACGCCTCGGGAATTTCTAGAAATATCCGACTACCCGGCACTCTAATGTGTATGTTATAGAACTGATTGCTTCGCGACGTTTTTAATTCTACTTTGCCGTAACGTTCCTCTTTCTTTTCTTCAGTGAAGCTTGAATGTTTATTGAGGGTTGAATTTCACTGGAAATCCAATTCTATCAATATCGGTTAATTATACAGTTGTTTCTGTCACTATCTGCATTGCAGTTGAGAGATCGCGATCTGGAAAAAAATTAAATTGTTTAAAGTGTCAAAAGTTAATTCTAACTGTCTAAGATTATTATAATTCAATTGTCATATGAGGGATATTTATTTCAATTGCTATGACAATTTATGTCAGGCCGTCAATATCGAAATTTTTCTTGTCATTTCTCTTTGCGAGCACTAATCGACTCTCTTGGAACTACTTCTTATCTTGATAATATTTGATAAAAAAAAACTTGTCATTACAAAATAAATATATATACATGAAAATAAAATTTAAAAATTTCCATAGAATTTTTTTTTATTTTCCCATCGAAAGATTTCAAATGATTTTAATACATACAACAAAATTATTTATAAAACTGCTTATATATATATTAAGATTTTTGCACCATATATAATGACGCAAAATGTTGTACGAAGCTCTAATAAAGCAATCAAACTAATATATTCATTGTGCCAATCTATACGACTGTCGTAGTCGTTGCATTGTTTTTTTTTAGCGTTGCACAATAGAGCTATCATGAACTTAGCGTTATCAAAGCTTCTCTCCATAGTTAAGATTAAAAAAGCGTTATCAATTAAATATATATTTTAATTAGATTCATTCTGTTTTTTTAGATAAAAAATTTGTTAACATTACATTTTATTGTATTAGCACATTAATTAAAATAACTAGTAAAATAAATAGTAAAAAAATATAACATGAATCTGCAAAAAAAGTTATACATAAATTCAGAACTTGGTTATTATTTATTTATAAATGGATAATATATGTAAAGTATTCTAATCAATTTTAATACTTTGATATTATATTTAACATATTATCACAATTAATGGGAGAATATTAATTTTTGTGATATAAAAATCTTCGATTTTTTAATTGCACTTTATTATTTTTAAACAAATATTTGATAAATAGAAATATCATTTCTGTAAGCTCTCATCTCGGAAATATTTACATGATTCTGTGATACAATTCTGATAATAAAATAACATCCTATTAAAAAAAATATTTATAAGTAATGTCACATGAAGTTACACATAACAAAATTAATTTCATCATTGAATATTCATTATAATTGTTAGTTAAAATGAATAAAACTGCTCGATGTGGCGTTAGCAAACATCGCGTCGGTTGTCACTGATCGATAGCGTATATGCTCAAACATTTCAAATGTGCCCTTGTTTTTATGTATTATTAAATGCTTTGACGTTTTACTCCATTGTAATTCTTAGATTGTACATAAATTTTCAAAAACATTTACATGATTCTGATGCAAAATTCTGATAATAAAATAATTCACTATTAAAAAAAATTTATAAGTGACGCCATATAAAAAAAGAAAATTAATTTCATCCTTGAGGAATATTCGCTGATATAATTATTGTTAGTGGAAACGAATAAAACAGTTGCTCGATATGCCGTTAACAATTAAACATCGCGTCAATTATCACTGATCGACAGTGTAGTGATGCTCAAATATTTTAAATTTGCCCTACCTTTCATGTATTATTAAGATGCTTTAACATTTTACTCCATTACAATTCTTAGCATGTTTATGTATAATAGTTACATTGACTTTTTGTAATTATTGATTTAACGGGAATTTACAATTGCAAAATTAGCATATATAAGTATCTATTGTAGATTAACGTAATTATTAAATATATTGCTACATTAAGTGTACGCAGCGATGTACGTACCTTAGAGTTTATCATTTTTTTTATTCTGAAAACGGTTATGCAAATCTTCAGACGGTGCGTATATATTCTTGGGTAATTGTTCATGACAAAAACTTAATCACCTTGTCGATTGAAATATCTCCGTATTCCTTGTATTTAATTTTAAAATTAAACATTAGGACAGCAGAAGCCAATTAGGTTCTAACATCTATGATTTACGACTATAGGCACCTGTGAAAATTTTAATGGATGAAAGAGGATGTATGACATAGATGAATACATAATAAAAATAGAGAGAGCTTTATGTTCAAAAAGTGTAATTTTAGAAATTAATGTTGGCCCATTTAAAAAAAAATTTTTTAATAAAAGGCGACTAAATCTCGTAATAATACCTAGTACATTAACGACATTCAACACAATATATAAAACAATCAGCGAAAAAAATGGAAATGCTTAGTTTGTCGCACTGTCAGTATTTAAATGCGCAAAGTTTACTAAAAATTTATGTAAATTCAGATCATTTCACGAGATTATTTCCTTTGCATGACTCGACATTGTTTCAAATAAAATAGTGCTAAAACCACTCTGTTTCGTTTTATTTGTATTAGTGATATAAGAGAGGAAGACAATGTGTCACAACATTTCCATTTTCTGTGGTGAACAAAATTAGAAGAGACTGGGAAATATATATATATATACATATATATATAAAGAGAGAGAGAGAAAAGAGAAAAAGAGAAGAGATGAATCAATAGCAGAAAATTTTGGCAGTCCGATCAGCTGGTAGTGCTTTTATCCTCAATGTCAAGCCATATTTTCTGTTCCTGTTCTCCTTAGAAAAACAGAATATTACCGGAAGGGGTGTTGAGAGAAGCCACTCTTCCCCGCGATGAGAGACACCGGTAACCAGGCCAAGTATGAGCAGCTCTTAGACGATGCTGGCCTCGAAATTCGCAATGACGACAAGGAACACAATGAAGAAAATGCGACACTAGACGAGGTAAGCTCAGTAGATTAGAATATTTTACAGCTCTGTAATGAAGAACATATTTTTCATAAGTATAGTTAATAAAAACTCGTTGTTAAAACTTTGACAAATATACTAGAATGTTTTATGATTTCTATATAATTTGAAATAATAAAAAAAATCCTCAAAGGTTACTCCTTTATTGCTGACAGAAGAACTAAAATTCATGTTGCTGGCAAAGAGTTAAAAATCTTGATATAACCTGATGTTTATTGATATTACGATTGTATAAGACGTGTGCCAAAAAATATGCATTCGATATTTCAATGGATTTCATATATTGAGAATTTTCTTTAGTTAGAAAGCTTAAACGTACCTATAGTTATATTTTTTATTTGAGTTTCCAGCGTCTCTAAATCCATCTCTTGAAGTATACTGACATATTTATGAATCATTAGATATACTTTCTGTGTTCACGTGTATACAATTTTTTCACACTGAATAAAAAACCAAAAATTAAATAAATTAATTGAACCTTAGACGGAATGCGCGATTTCCGATATTTGCAGAACCCACTCAAAAGTATTTCAAGTTATCATGGAAGTTTCATCAGAACTATCAAAAGTATACCAAACTGAAGCAAGTTGCTTTACCTTTCGTGTCATGCGCTCCAATATCTCGTTTTTTTTTTACAGAGTCCTAATTTTCGATATACAAATTTGCAACTTACTTCAGCTTGATTTATCTGTTCTTCGTGACTGAACCTGTTACACTTTCCATCTTCCTCCCTTCTGTCTCGTAATGCAGTCAAATGCAGCTATAAAAAAAAACGGATTTTTGTTCTCTCGGCAAGGGCGCGAAATTTGATTTCTGCAACCTCTCTGACTCTGATAATTCCAATGATTTTTCAAGTGTTGAAAGTTGAGAAACGAATATTTCAATTTCTTTTTAACCTCCCATTTAATTATTCTACAAAGAAAGATAAGTCGTTATAAAAATAAAAGACCGTAATGAATGAATAAGAATTAGAATTTGAGATCGTGGATTACGATACATATTTACGTAAGTGAAACTTGTATGCGAGCTCGTACATACGTTACAATGGAAATTTTCTCGTCACGTTACACGTGAACTGCGAGGACATGAAAATGAGAGCATTGCCAATAAATTGCAAGGAGTATAATACCTGCATAATGACGTCAAGTATCACATTCATTAAATTTATTTGGTCGGCACAAATAACAGTACCTACATCTCGAGAAATGTTTAAATGACATATTAACCTGTTTACTTTAGCATTTTCTGGCGGTTCTTGGAAGAAATTCTTTCTTCACTTTGCCTCCTTTCTCATGCTTCCAACAAGACGTATATATACTTATATACGTCTTGTTTCAAGTAAAAAAATATCGCCACGCGCTTTATATACTACGTCATGTAAATAAATAAACAGTAATTTATGATACATATAAATTATAATGAAACGCAAGTTATTCCGAAGATATTTTGACGATATTCTGAAAATGTCACAAAATATACACACTCAGGATGTTTCTATTTTCACTCATTTTTCTCGCTTAAAAGTAATAATCAAAATATCCTCGCAATATCCTCAGAATATCATGCGCTATCTGGATGTATTTGTATGGGTGAATCTTATCAATCATTTCCCTCTCAGAGGATGTGTAAAGTCTGACTTTTGACTTTTTTGTGATTCATTGCCTTACGTTGGAACCATTTGCAAGAAATCGAAATGATGAAATATGTATATATAGTTCAGCAAAAGGGAAAAAAAAGAAGGCAAATCACTCGTTGACTCCATTGACAAGACAATACTCGTTGATACAGCGGCGCGTCTCACATACTCACAGCTGTCTCGCGTCTCTCGGGAGTCGGGACTCGGCTCGGGAGCCTCGGGAGTTCGCGTCGCGCGATCCCTAGCTCTTATGTGGTGAAATTGTTTCGGAAGTGAATCGCATTTTCCTATTTATTTGGCATGCTGCCTTATCATCGACCTATTGCATGATCTGTTCGATCATGTCCTCTAATCAAATCGTTGCTTTGACATTCCGGAATATTTCCGTTTGGAAATGCATTGACAGATCGACTGGCTCGTTACGAGGTTAATGTTCGAACATTATTATTTTGTCACAACATACATATCTTAGTCGAATTTTGATCGACGAACTTTTTCGCTTTCATTTGGGGGGGGGGGGTTTTTTTTTTTTTTC